AGCGCCCGCTGGGAGAAGGCCAGCCACGTGCTCCGCGCCGGCCGGGACCTGCTCGATTTGTCATCATTACGCCGCGGGGTCGTGACGGGCGCCGGCGCCGGCCGCGCGGCAACTCTTTCATCTGCGCCCGACACGCAAACTGGCTGGCGCCGGTCGTTAGCTGGGGCTCATGGTGCGGCCGGGCGCGGCGTGTCCAGCCAGGGCAGGGCGGGGCGTCGGACCCGGGCGGGTGTCGCGCCCGGGCGGGCTGCTGACAGCCGGCGCGAGTGGCATGTCGATCCTGGGCTTGATTACGACCCGTGTGAGTTATGGCACTGTGGGGAGCCCCGGCGCTGAAAACGAGCGAAGGTGGTGGGAGGTTTGGATATCTTGAAATCCGGGGGTCGTGCATGTTGTGACAACTATCACCATGGTCTTAGAATAATGGAAGCAAATTGGATGGAGAGGGAATGGAGGCACACGGGCTGAAGGGCAGAAACAGTCAGTATCTGGGATTCACTACTAAGCAACGGCACAATTTCCCTCACAGATACCAGCCCAAGCCCCAGAGGCTTTTCCGGAAAAGCAAAGAAGAATACTTTAAATAAGCGAGAGCGCACATACACTTCTATCCTGCATATTCACGCTGGAGCCAAACAAGCTCTGACACATACTTATTCATTACACCAGGATGACGCTCTGTGATGCGTGAGACAAACTAGCGTTATGAGACGCGAGAGCTGTTAGTGGCCAACATAACTATGACGCCAAAAAGTAAACAAACGGAGGAAGATACCTTTTGGTGACCCGACCGATGCGTTCGCAATTACACCTCTACCTGAGAGACGGAGTGGGCCGCCCAGCTGTGCAGCCGGCGCTGTGCGGCGGCGGGCGTCACTGCCGGCCGACGTGCCTGGTCCAGAGCGGAGCCAACAGCCGGCTCTGTATGGCGGCGCCGCCAGCCGTGCCAGCAGCTAGAGCCAGCAGCCGGCGCTGTGCGGCGGCGGGCGTCACTGTCGGCTAGCGCGCCTGGTCTAGAGCAGAATCAGCAGCCGGCGCTGTATGGCGGCGGGCGTCACTGTCGGCTAGCGCGCCTGGTCCAGAGCAGAGCCAGCGGCCGGCGCTGTGCGGCGGTGGGCGTCACTGCCGACTAGCGCGCCTGGTCCAGAGCGGAGCCAGCAGCCGGTGCTGTGCGGCGGCGGGCGTCACTGCCAGCTGGCGCGCCTGTTCGGGAGCAGAGTCAGCAGCCGGCGCTGTGCGGCGCCGGGCGTCACTGCCGGCTAGCGCGCCTGGTCCAGAGCAGAGCCAGCAGCCGGCGCTGTGCGGCGCCGGGCGTCACTGCCGGCTAGCGCGCCTGGTCCAGAGCAGAGCCAGCAGCCGGCGCTGTGCGGCGGCGGGCGTCACTGCCGCCCGGCGCGCCTGGTCCAGAGCAGAGTCAGCAGCCGGCGCTGTGCGGCGGCGGGCGTCATTGCCGGCCGGCGTGCCTGGTCCAGAGCAGAGTCAGCAGCCGACGCTGTGCGGCGCTGGGCGTCACTGCCGCCCGGCGAGCCTGGTCCAGAGCAGAGCCAGCAGCCGGCGCTGTGCGGCGCCGGGCGTCACTGCCGCCCGGCGAGCCTGGTCCAGAGCAGAGCCAGCAGCCGGCGCTGTGCGGCGCCGGGCGTCACTGCCGCCCGGCACGCCTGGTCCAGAGCAGAGCCAGCAGCCGGCGCTGTGCGACGCCGGGCGCCACTGCCGCCCAGCGCGCCTGGTCCAGAGCAGAGCCAGCAGCCGGCGCTGTGCGGCGCCGGGCGTCACTGCCGCCCGGCGCGCCTCGCCCAGCCGGCTGGCTGCTACGGCGTCCGGGTCGCCAGACTGCGAGCCGCTGGCAAATGCTCGTGCAAATGTCGCCACCTGGTCAGTGTGCGCCTGCACGACTCCCAGTCGCTGGTGTAAGCATCCCTGAATAACCACGCATAGCGAAAAGCCACGGGTGCCCCTGGTCGGCGGCACCTCATACACCGTTAGGGAGGGCGGCGCCAGCGCGGAGCTCAGGTACCGGAGAAGCTAAAGGAAGGTGTGCGAACCACCGTCCGGCAATTACTAAATGCTGATCAACGTGTCATTAAAAGTCCTCGAGCCCAGTTTGATTGTGCTCACATTATTCCCCCTTGCTAACGCCATGCAAATTATATATTTTTATTCTCAAGTTATGCACGCGTAATGACGTTTGGCATTCCCGCTTCGGAAACATTTCCTGAGATCGAAAATCGATCAAAATTCTTCGGCTCTGCCAACGCACGTACTCCTGTCGCAGAGATGGCCGCGATTCTATATCGTGCCCTCACGGGCGTCTCGAAAGTTACACATGCTCCGAAACATACAAAGGTTTGCAGTTCGCATGAGGATGACACAGTATTGCAAACCATGGTTATAGCTCTTGCCGTTTACGAACGTCAAAAGACAACGGTCTAGACATGCATGCGGACGTTTTGTTTCGAGGAGTCAAAAGTATTTAATAGGAGGGGATTCATGATGGTAGCACTAGGGCGAATACTCACAGATCACTTTGCCCGACTTCCTTGCTCGCTTGACTTGCAATTGGCTTGCTTTGCATCTATTCAGGTCGTCAATATTGACATCGACAGACGAAACTGACGCAGTTGCAAACTTTGGTCACATCGAACAGGCCAACGCACCTATGGAGTGTACTTCTACCTACCTATGGAGTGTTCGTGGGCTGACCCCTTCCGGTATCGCCGCAGGGCCAAGGCCGGTTTCTGGTCAACTCCTGTCACACATAGATAGTCGGACGGTTTAAGCGTGATTTTTCCGTGCCGTACAGTTTTCCTAGGCCTTCGTCTACTCTGGTTGCTAGGTTCTACCGACAGCTTTTAAAATGACCAGAAAGAGGAAACTCCGATTTGCGCACGAGCACGCGTGGCTGCATGCTTGCTTCGACCGGCAGTTTGGCAATGCAATTGTCCGTTATAATTCTGATTGGTATTTGTTAGTCTCGGGTTGGTGCCACGGAGGCTCGTCGAGGTCCGAGCCCAGACTGTGGCTTTTGGTCTCTCGGCAGTTTGGCAATTCTGCGCTTTCCAGGGTACTGGAGTGTGGAAGTGGAATCGTGGTGACGTTGAGACACTGAGAAAAATCGGCGTGATCAAACAGCTTACATGGAAATGCTTAGCGCTTCATACGGCACACTTTTTCAAACATTGAGCTTCTGGATGTTGAAAGCCGCATGAAATTGTGATAGTTATTGCAAGTGAATTAATTACATGCAGCGTGATAACAGAACTGCCTGGGCTAGGCTGTTTTTTAACAGTCTGGGCTAGTCTGCTCAAATTAAAAACTTCTAGCCCAAAAAAAGTCTCACTCGTCCCGCGGCATCGCTCGCCTGACTGACGACGTCTACGACGTGGTTGTCTCTTTGGTACAATTGGAATATCTGAATACGGTTTGTTGTGCATTATGCTTTGCACGCAGTCGCACAACTTCTCACCTTACCCCGCCCGCTTACTTTGGTCCGCTCACAGTGCAGAACTGCTGGGCAGCTAGCGCAGCCAGCTCACATTTTGCCACATGGAACGCAGTGTATTTGGGGCTACCATGAAAATGCGTTGCTATGGACAATAGTTTCTAGAAAGTACGACGGCCGCTTGGTTAATGTCTGCTGGATGACTGTAAGTCTGCTGGCGGTTAGCGACTCACTTTGGTCATGTCGATACCATTTAGCGATGTTACGGCGGAGTTTTTATCGCCGACATCAAAGAAGCCGTTGTCTCAACGGCTTTCGGTGTAAACGTTTGGAATGCAGGATCGGAGTAAAATGCGTTCGGCCAGGGAATCTTCCCTTCCCTCATCACCATCTCGATTATCTCCGTACATCGAGAAACTCGTGCTGTTTGCGTGGCATCGTGTATTATCATATCATGTCACGTGTATAATCACAAACACGGAAACTCGGCAAACCTCTACGGCAGTTTGTGTGGCCACTGCCGCATCTGACACCCATTGGCATTCTTCAGCCATGATCGCAGGCCCAATACTGCGACTTTTCAGCAAAAAGACAACCTAGCTTGAATGCCAAAGTATGATTTGTCATCGACTAGACGATTGGGAGTAACAGGAATGAAGTATACAGCAAACTTGTCCCATCGGAGCTCACGTTATCTGCTAAAACACCTCACCAACACGTCAACACATCTCAAATAAGACACCGCTCTCATTGACTAACGAGCATAAAAATGTACACTTCTAATGAATTCATGAAAAACAAAACACGTTATTCGCACCCTCCACTGTGAAAATAAGCGGCTCGCACACGTAAGCATTTAGCGCCGGCACTGTATGATTGTCTGGATGATTGATGACGTGTCTGAACGCTTTGGTCGGTCGCCGTCTCGTGGTCAGTCTGTCGGTCTCTCGGGAGCAGTGATGGGGTTCTGGCGGGTCCCGCTAACAACAGAACGGCGTGGGAGTTGGGTGGTCTTTATGACAGATGCGTCTGATGGTTGATGCTGTGTCTAAAGGCTTTGGCTGGCTTCTGCGTCGACGTCGACTTGTCCGTCTCGGAGGGATGCTGATAGGGTGTCCCTGCGAACCCCGACTCCCTGCAGGGACGTCCAAGCCGACTCTTCGCCTGGGGACCGTCGGCAGCACCTCTCCGCTCCTCAGGGACGCCAGACGGGGTCATCCCTGGGCAGGGATGCCAGCAGGGGTCCACCGACCAGGGCCGCCAGACGGGCGGGGACGCGGGCGCCGGCGGCCGTTCGCCAGCGGCGCCGGGCGCTGCCTCCGGCCCGTCCTTGCTGAGGTTCATCACGAACGCCATCTCCTCGGAGGAGCAGCTCTCGGACGTGGCGCCGTCGCCGCGGCTCCAGGGGCCGGCCGCGGAGCCGGGGCTGCCGGACGGCACGCCGCCGCTCCAGTGACGCTCGGCCGGCGCGCCGGCCGCCGCCGCCGGCGACAGCAGCCCGCCCGAGGCAAGGCTGAGCGGCGAGCCGGACGCCAGGCTGCGCGGGCTCGGCGGCCGGTACGGCTCGTCGCCGCCGTGCAGCAGGTCGTAGCGCTGCTCGAGGTTGGTGACGAGCCGCGGCAGCGCCGCGCCGCCGTCCCCCTGCGCCGTGAACGAGCGCACCACCTGCAGGCACTGCTGGTAGCCGCGGCGGTACGTGTCGGCCGAGTCGGCGGCGACGGCGGCGGCGGCGGCGCCGCGCCGGAGCAGGCCGTGCAGCTCCCGCATGTGCTTGACGGTCTGCTCCAGTATGTCGGCCTTCTCCAGCTTGGACGGTTTCGGGCCCTGAGGAGGAGAACGCAGGGGTTAGTGGCGATCCGCAGTGGTCGGGTGACGAGTCAGCGAAAGGAAACAAGACACAAAACACTTGGCGAACATTTCATGAGCTGTCAGTCTAATATATTGAAGTCGAAGTTTAACGACCATTCAATGCGTGCTTACCTGTCTCTGAACGGCGTTCTCGTCGATCAGCATGTCCTTCAGCTCCTGCAGGCAGCTGTTGATGCGCTCTCGCCTCTTCTTCTCCATGATCGGCTTCCTGATCTTGCGGACCTCACTCATCGGCTTCGTGGGGCGCTGAGCGCGTTCCATGCTTGCGTGCCGCTGCGCTGGCTCGCTGCGCGTTCGTCGATACGTCTCCCACGTCGCGTGTCTCCGGTCGGACTGCGGCTGCGGCGGCCGGCCAGTTGACGCGTGGGCCCCAGCGCGCACGCGCGGCGCATCAATGGGCCGCCGCTGCCGCGCGCCCATTGGCGGGGCGGCATCGGCGGGGGCGGAGCCAGCGGGGGAGTGTGCCGGCCGCCGGCCCGTGGCGGCGGCGGCGCTGGCGCGTGGGAGGCAGCGCTGGCCCGGCCGGCGCGCGTCGCAGCCGCGGCGGGCGTCGGCGTTGTGGTTGAGGATGGCGCGTGGGGACCCGGCCTGGCGTCTGGGAGACAAATGGAAGACGCTGCCAACGGACGGAGATGGGGTGCGAGGACAAGAGCAAGACGGATACGCTTGGGAGTGATAGGCGTCAGCGACACAGGACTGGTACATGAAAAGAAAGTCATGCTTTTGAGGGCAAATCTTAGAACAAGAAGTTTTACAGGTGACGCACCCTTTAACGAAATTTCCACGCAGTGCTATGCCAGATGCTGCTCTCATGCTACTTTCATTCGTGTACCCAAATGACAGTCCGCGCAAGAACGAACCTTCGTCTCGCCCGTTCGAGATCTGAATGCAGATAGTCATCGGCTCCTGCCGGTTTACGGCCATAGCTCCGCGCTCGCGGCATGCAGTCAGCTCTTCTGCTGGGGTATCTGATCATGATTACACGGAGCTGATAACCGTTATGACATTGCCGCTCTCAATTATCCGGGTCGTAAATCAGGCGCTCATTTGCTCCGGCGCTCATAAAGCGTGCCAGGAGATGCGGCCAGGAGGTACGGCCAGGAGATACGGCCAGGAGATACGGCCTCTTCCAGGCCAGGAGATGCGGCCGGGACGAGGCTGGTCCTCTGCTCCCCTCGCGAGACTTGTCTGAGGGAAACCGTACCGAGCATGGTTGATACACTTCTCCGACAGCATTTCGTCTTGTTTGTGGATTATGAGTAAAGGTGCCTTGGATGATTTGCACCACGCAATTTAATATTTTCGGGAAAGTTAGTTGCTCATGGTCTCGACATCTGTGCAAGGTTTGTTGCGTCCCTTTCCAATCATTTTGGTGCTGCATATTACATTGACGGCATTCCCCGTCCAAAACGGGAGTGACGCACCACGGTTATATATATATATATATATATATTTGTGTGTGTGTGTGTGTGTGTGTGTGTGTGTGTGTGTGTGTGTGTGTGTGTGTGTGTGTGTGTGTGTGTGTGTGTGTGTGTGTGTGTGTGTGTGTGTGTGTGTGTGTGTGTGTGTGTGTGTGTGTGTGTGTGTGTGTTCGCAATTATGAAAAAAGAGGATGGCTTACAATTAGTGACTTTATGAATATTGACAGCATGTTTAGGTCCACGGAAAGGGCCCGAACTCAGATGAATGCAATTTTCAACTAACTCGCCGCAACTTGTATTTAGAATGCATAAACTATACTTCCGAAGTGGCCAATAGCCCTCAGCCATAACGTCATGTCCCATTCAGCTGCGGCTCCGTAAAAACGCTGTTTGCTCTCATTATGGAGGCTTTAACCCTTTCTCTTTCACAGGCACCATACACATTGCGCCACACCGACGCAGTCGCATTGACCTTGCATCCCTGAATCTTGTGAAAGTCAAAACGCCTGCCGTGCCTCGCACCAGAAGCGGCGTAAAAGAATCCAGCCTCCGTTTTATCCATCTATAAATAAACGCAATCTCTTCTGTCTTGCGCGCACGAGCACACCATTTATGTCCATTCAGTGTTTTCAAGCATTTGAACTTTTCAACACGACGCCGTTGGTGACGCGTGTGCGCCGAAGCGTCTGAGGGCGCTCCTGCTGGACTAATGGGTCCCGCTCGCGCTCGTGAACGATGGTGTTTACGCGGCTTTGCGGGGCAGGTGAAACTTCGGCCTCCAAACTGCGGACCAACCGAGCGAGGCCGGTCGGCAATCACGGAGACAAGCCGGCCAGCAATTGGACGCAACGCGCGTCTGTTCGGGCTCGGACGACGGCGCCAGCGAGAGATGTTGTGAGGCCTCGTGGTCCATTGGCTTCCAGTGATTGTATTCATTGGAAGGCCTTGGTCATCCTCTCATGCGTGCGAGACAGAAAGCTGGCGCCCACTGTGAAAGGTCGGCTCAGGCATTATGTGCGTAAACGCGGGTACTTTCGACGAAATTTTCCTTGCGCAAGTACGCGTGCGTGTAACATTCAGCGGCCTCCACGCCGATGGCACGGTGGCTTGCTAGGCTTCGCGACCGTCACAGGATTTTGTTATCGTTGTTACTGGGGCCTTACGACGCCCTCAGCTTCTAAAACTTTAAGGCGTCGCCTGCCTCCCGCCCTCGCAGGAAAGGTGGACACCGTGGGGAATCGAACCCACCACCTCAGGTTTCCTGGACGCGCAGATTAGCGTCACAGGATTCCTCCCATCCCCCAACGCTAATGGCATACCTTCTTTGTCCTAAACCGTATATTCTCAACAGATTGGGACACCAAATTTGTAGATGTTACAATTTCTTGGGGCACCTACAAGTTAGGAGATTGGCATCCAACTTTGCTTGCCACAAATGGCAAGTAAAGTGGGATGTCACTTCCAGCTATCGCCACTGCAACAACCTTCTCCATGCCGTAAGAGCCGAACAGTCGGGGTTGGCGCGCATCCAAGCACATAGGAATCACTTTAAAAGTGCAGCGCTGGAAATGGAAATTGAATGCATACTGCCCGAGGGTGTGAATGAAAAACGGCCTGGTTTGCCCTAAAGAATGCCCGCCATCTGACGCTCGCAGGGTGCCGCTCGGCATCTGAGATGGAGCGTCGGTCGTGTTACGAGGCCCGACAGCATGCCACGGGTGAAGCTGACAGCGATGGGACCTGTGAGGAAAGCTCCAACCGGCCTCAGAACTGAGCTGACGGGAGTTCGCCATGTGCATACCGTGTGGAGCACGAGATAAAGCCAATCGTTAGCGCTGAATGTATTGTCTTGCGTCCAACTGACAACGGCGATAGTGTTTTTGCGGAGGGGGGAGTGAGAAGTACAGCACGTGCGGCGAATGTGTTACTTTAATCACAGTGAGCTATATCAGGATACAAGACGCTGAGCCAAAATTTTTGAAAATCTGCAGTTTCATAAACCGGCAGCCGTGGGTGCTGACACTTACGGATGGTTTTCCATGCACTACCAAAAGCATGTTTTCGTCACGTGTTCCTCACAAGCGCTGCTCCGCGCCTACACCTATTCGATTAAGATGCGGCATTGACGCAGATCATGTCAAACGCATTTTCCATGTCAAAAAGTGGCGGGATTAAATCGCGCCAAGCCCAAGTCTGAGGGGTGTTTGATTTTCACTGTTTAGTTGCATGCATATACATCCTGTGTCCCTTTCGGAAATCCAAACACAAATTAATTACACAACACCCTCTGCAATTCTGCTCTTATGGCACACCGCCGGAGCTGGGCGGAGGCGGACCCTGCTCTTCTGGCGAGCGCAACGCTCAGAGCAGCCCAAACGGTGGGTCCGTCCGGAGCTCAAAACATCGCTGATGACGTCATGTCGTGGGCGTCGCCCGCCGCCGCGCGTGCGGGTGACAGCTCTCACAGCCTGCTGAGAAAGCGACGATCCCGTGTGCGCTGCCGTGCCGAGAATGTCAACACCGCGCGGATGCGTGCCGTTTGCGGCGGCGGCGGCGCCACCACGCTTCCCTGTGAAGTTCGCGCGGTCTGTGGGTGGGCACGGGCCGGCTCGCGCGGGACCGGTGCGCGCCGAACAAACAGCAGCCGCGCGTGAGCGTGACTGATGGCGCGTCCATCTGGCACCAGCTGGCGGCATCATCGCCGGACAGACCCACTCCTAATCGCCCCGCCGCAGCCCGGGATCGCGTTTCGCCGCGCTCGCCGCTCCCGGCGGGCGGGCGGTCCGCGCCTCGCGTCCCGGGACGGGACGATATTGGGACGGTTCCGGGACAGTGCCGGGACGCCGCCGGCGCGAGACGCTGAATGCCGACCAACGGCTGCACTCGTTTGAACCGGCCGCTGAGCCTGGTCTGAACGGGCCGCGTGGTCTGGTGTGTGGGCGGCGGCGGGGGTGTGGAGGTGTGCACGGCCGGGAGTTGGTACACGCTATGTCAGTTCTGTACAGTCGTCGCTTGAATAGGACGTGCATGCTGTCGTGCAGTCAGCTGTTGGTGAAGTGCCGAGGTAATTTTCTCGTCCAGGCGGCGACATTCAGCATGTGCCGAACGGTGGCCACACTTTTCAAGAACAACGCACGTATTCTTGCAAATAAGGAAACCAAGGACGTATGCCGACGTTTCCTGCCAGGTGCGTGACGACCACTGTTAGCATCCGAGCACGACATGGCACAACCAGACATATATCCTGCTGGTGTGAGGGAACGGCTAGTCAGCACACCTGTGAGCCGTAAGGCACAGTCAATTATAGTCCACTATAAACGAGACGCAATGGTGCACTGCCAGCTAACGTTGTCATTAATAGTCTCACAATGACTTGTATTGAGCGCACGAACCTCTGCCCTAACAGAGCGCCTGCGTCCCGCCTCTCTCGGCGCAATTCTCACGCAGCCACTTGCAGCACCGGCTCCCGTAGGGGCCAGACCCGCTGCGAGATTTTCCCAGGGCGCGCGGCCGACACCTGTGACGTCACAGCCAGCTGGCGGGCACCTGTGACATCGCAGCCAGCTGGCAGGCACCTGCAGGGCGAGGCTTGTTCTGCTCACCTGCCAGACCTCGAGATCGGGGTTTAAAGGGCCTCCCCGCAGGAGCAGATGCTGGCGCAGTGAGGGACGTTCAAGGATGAAATGCAGGAATGTGTGAAGGCAGACTTAGTGGGAGGTCATGCTTCTTCTTCTGAAGCATTCGATGTTGGTCAGAAATCTACGGCTTGTTATCTATTTGAACTCGCTGGAGGGGGTTGAGGGCGGGGAACTTAAAGATGGCAATTGCGGTCTAATTTAAGACAAGCTCCATCATGAGCAGTAAGACAGGAGCTTATTTCAAAACCAGTCCGCAAGCCGTCAG